GTTAAACCAAGATTAGGGAGAGTTGGGCTCTTCAAGAGTTAGACTGAAATTGTAATCCTCAAAGCCACAAATCTAACTGCCAGCAGAGTGAAACACTTAAATTTTGTGTCTCCTTTGGATCAACAAGTACTAAAAAATCCTACAGCTCTGTCTGTGGTGAAGAGAGTGTCAAATACAATGTGGTGTGTGGACAAATCCTTAGAAATCTTCATTTCTAGAATAAGTGCTACTCCTGATGGGAAATATCCCTTTGGCTTGCTCATGGGACTAGGATGCAATGACAAGGATTTGACAGAGCAGAGATTACAGTCACTTGGTTGAATCACAGTGACAAAAATGGGCCTTAACTAAATTCTAGCTCTTAACAGCTAGCTGGCTCCAGCTCTCATCCTAGTTTCTTGCCTCCTGAATGCAAGGAAATAAATCTCTTGTTTTTGTGAAAGGTGAATCTAGCACAACTACAGACAATGATCCATACATAACTCTCATTTGGCCGCAGGTCATGAGCAAGGGCACCCTATCAGTCGGATTTCATGTTCAGAATATCAGACATCAGTGACTTTGGATGACTTGTGGATGGATGGCCTGAGACTGGGGCCATGGTTAGTTTTCAGAAGACAGATGAAAGATCTGGATCTGCCATTAGGTTTTTAAAATACCAAAAGCTTGAATGCAGGCAAGAATCACTTACAAAAAGGTTTATTGATGAGAGCTTTGAAAGATGTGGCTTTGGCCAGTTAAACAGTTACATTAAGTGAGGGATTTTGGCAATTTGGATAGAAAAACTGACTTTATAGTTTGACTCTTTTAATAGAGCAACAAATATTTCTGATGAGGACTGAGGAAATTATATTCCTGCAGTACCTGCAGCAGGGAGGATTGTTGAGATCAAAGTAGAATTTGATTAGGACACCTAAAAAATTGAAGTCCTTTGTTTTTCTAGGTTTTTCTAGATCGCTTGTTGACTAGGAAGGGGGCTGAGCTTAGTAAGGCTGAATAGCATCTAAAACAGAGCAAGTGTCATGCAATATAAGACTAGGAGTAGGCTGGGGGTCAGGCAGGTGCCAAATAGCTCTGAAATGTGTCACTGGATCTTGAAAACATGATATATTTAAGATAATTATTCTTACCAGACAATGAAGATCATTAATTCTAAGAGGTATCTAGATCACAGGGCTACACTTTTACTTAGGACAAGTTGATATCAGGACGTGTGTATGAAAAGAACTATATTTATTGATAGAAACTGATATGAAATACATAAAAATTCACTCAGAAGGAAATGCTTACGAAGAGGTATAAAGTATAATTTTCCTAGATCACTGATAATGCACCTGTGTCTTAACTACCCAATTTGGTATCACAAGTGTTCTAAAGCTGCCACAGTTGGTCAGAACTGCCCCTCTCCTTTGCTACTTGTATTGATTGGTCAGTGCTACCTCCATATATGTAGACAAAGAAATTTGCCAGTATTGACAGTACCTTCCTGGAACAGAAACAAGAGCATATTATACCATATAATCTAGAAAAATATCCCCATGGGCTAGATTAGGTCTGTCCTTCCCTCCTCAAATGATATTAGATTATACCTTTCACCCTTAAAAGCTATACGTCATTAATGGTGCAATAAAATTATATAAGGTTAAGAAAAGTAATCTGCCACCATGCACCATTATGCAGATAAAAACTTCTCACATTTTTGTCTGGACTGATCTATGGCAATGTTCATCAGTCATCCTGACCCTACCAGTCACTTGTCAAAGCTCACAAATGTACTAGAGTCCTGTGATGTATTTAAAATATCTCAAAAGTCAAGAGAAGAGGGAGAACTGGTACCAGCCTAGGGCTGCCCGGAGCAGGGGAATATTTTGCTGCACAGACACCTCTACACAGGGAGGTCTGCATCATGTGCATAATACACAGTTTAAGTCTGGGAAATGCACTTGGACTGGGCCACATGCACTTCACAAAAAGTAACCACAGCTACTAGGGCAGAACAGTGTACAACAGTGCTTGCTAGAAAAAAGAAAACTGGAGATTAGAGTGAAACTATTTCTCTTTTAAATCTCATTTTAGCAAGGGTCTGGCTCCCCTGAGCATGGTGAATTATGTGTGACTGTGTGCATTGATGAACAAAAAACACGTTGAGAAACACACAAGAATCACTTGTAACTGCCAAGTCCCGCTTAAAATTAAACACATGCAGTTGATCAGTAACATTAGATTAAGATTTTTCTCTGTCCTCCATTTCAAGCCATATACACAGTATATGGTTTAGGAATACAGAGTATAAGCAGTTTCTTTTATGTATTTTGCAGGTACTAAATGGTTCCAGGAATAAAATTTATTTATATTGGAATACTAGATGCACCTCCTGCTGAAGCTTATACATATAATCTGCTAGAGAAATATTAATTTTATATATATATATAAAATTAATATTAATCTTTATATATGTATATATATATATATACCTTCTTGGATTTCTGTCTAAAAGTTTTGCAGAAGAGTACATTATACCCAAGACTTTACACCAAACCTTTAATGTGAAGGCAGATTCATTACTTTCAAAAGTAAATTAAGTCTCAAGAACATATTTTCAACAGTTGAAAGTTGCTTCTTGAAAAATTCTGGACTGTGTAACTAATTTTTCTCCTAATCTCCATTTACCCTTCACTGATGCTTGACTCAGAAGGGAGTTGTGAGTGTTGTGTGTTCCAGGAAAGAGCAACTGACAGGCTCTTGACTTTTGTATCAAGAAAACAAAATTGAATGAACTATTTTGAAACACCTGAATGCTTTCAAAGTGTCAATCTGTGGGAAAAAATCCCATATACATTACAGAATGAGTGTTGTGTTTATTTCAATACTATACACACATTTTGGATGACCTTAATAATCTACCAGCAATGTAACTTCTTAGGAGTGACTCTCTTTTTCAGAGTCAGGCTACTCAAACTTTTCAAAGCAGTCCCAGTAAAGCAAACAAAGCAGAAGAGGTATTGAAGGATATCCTTGAAACTTATGTTGAAGTGATTTATTGAATAGAATGAACCTGAAGACATGCTTGAGGTCTTTCTTGAGAAAGGGCTTACATAACACTATGCAATCATGGAATCATAGTAAAAGGATAGAGATATGCAAGGAGAGACAGATAAATTTCAACATTATTTATATTAATGTAATAACCATATCAGTACTTTAGAAGTATTGAACATCTCACCAAGTTTCAGACTTTCAGTCCATGAGTTTCATTTCTAAGCATATAATTGCATTTCTTTCTTAATGCCCATCACCTTATAAAAATTCAATGCCTTTATCAATTTAAAAAATAAAGTAATGCACTGAAAGGAAGAAGAAATATGCTAAATTCCACACTGAACCTTATGTATTTTCTACAATAAAACAAAAGCTTTATGGTAAACTGAAAGGAAAAGAATTTGAATATAGTAGGGAACATATTGGTGTGCCCAATGTGAAGAGTGGAGCAGACTAGGGATGATAAGGAGGTCACCAGACAGATCCACAGGGATGAACTAGGTCCACAGTAGAGCCAGGAAGTCATTGGCAGTAGATCCTGGGTTCGAAGGTCTGTGGCCAGGCGGAGACCATGGCCACAGCACAGCTCAGGTGAGTACCACGGTCTGGGGCCTGAGCTAAAATGCAGTTAAAATGCAGTTCCTGAGCAAAGCAGGGGAGGGCCTGAGGAGGTTTTTGAAGGCAGTTTCACAGCAGGCTGATGGCAGTCACAAGTTCAGGAGTGGGAGCTTGTCCTGAACTCCTGCCTTCAGAAGAGGCTGCTGAGCTTGTGGGGTACTAAAGTTGCTTCCTGGATAGATAAGGATGGTTTGGTGCCAAGCAATGGGATTCATCTACTTACCCCAGATGCCTCATCTAATCAAAAGGAAATGCCAGTGACTGGATGAGCGAGTCTGAAATCTTGCACAGTAGGCATCTCAGAAATTCTGAACTAAGCCTGGTGTATAAAATTGAGACTCATAGTGAGCCCCACACCTTTTATTTTCCTGGAAGGACTCGCTTATGTAGCCTGGTGGCAATGGTGCAATCTCCTTCATATAAAATTCTGCAACACATGGTGATATTTCTTACTTCATCTGCTTAAAATTCACGCTATATCCCAATGATGCCTTTACTACTGGTTTAGCAGCACATTCCCTCTGCAGTCTAACTGGATTTTCAGATCTTGAAATTTTTCAAGAAACTACTCAATTTTGGTTGTAAAGTCTTCCATTTGGACTGAAGAGGGATAGTAGACCATTTTTTCACCTCTACTGCCTTCTTGATGGCCCAGGAAATAGCATATGTTTTGAGTGAAAAAGAAACCTCTTCATGTTACAAACAACTCCTAGGAAAAAAAGCCACCAAAAAATGTTTGACAATTAATGATTCATGATGAAGCCAATCTAATAAATGTGTTAGTGCATGAAACTAGGACACTGACAGAAAGGCTTTGGTAGACCACTTATAATGAAAAACAATACATATCTAAATGCAGGAGTTCACTGGAGACCATCTGAGATGGGCAAAACTACTGCTGTCAAAAGAGCAGAACAAAAGGAATCAGGCACAGCTGGTGGAAATACACAGTAAAATTTCTTGAGAATGATTTTTAATTATATTATGACGGTCACAAGAGAGAGGCTGAACTCCTGTCCTGATGGAAATTGATTACCCTCCACAAGGTGTCCCTAAGAGAGCCTCCAAACAGAGCCAATGTTTCAAAAGACACTCTGGCTTCTAGTCATAGCAGGTTAGAAATGTCCTGTCCTTCTAGCAGTGTAAAAGCCAATCTAATCAGGTGTGAAGCATTTGATGTATGGAAAAATTAACCAGCATTTAGAGAGAGAAACTGGCACAAGATGAAGAGACCTGGCAGCTGAGACAATAGACCTGGCAAAATCTACAGGAGTTTCATTCCAGCTTTGTTGAAGTTAATTCTTTTCTGCTTTCTATTCTATGTAGATTTTCTTTCATTTTCATTCTAAGCTGTAAATCCAAATAAGTAAGTAAGCTATTCTACTGTGTGCCAAGACACCATTCTTCAGAAAAGCACAAAAAAGAACTTTCCATTTATTTATCTCTAAACTCTTTGTTTCAAAACATGTCTCTAAAATGAATTTTACAACCATCTTTTTATGGAGTGCAAAAAATATGAGTTAGAATATCTGAGGATATATTAATAATAAAGTAAAAGCAAAGTAAAATCTTACTAAATTCAGTAAATGTTCTCATAAGCCAGTGGAAAATAGTGTTAATTTTTAATAAGCACTTAGCTAAAATCAGTCTCTTGCATATTGGAGAATTGCTAAGAAAGTCAGCAGCTCTTTCATATAATTATTTGTCTGCCCAAAGAATGTGTGCAATATTTTGTTTCAAACAAAACCAAAATCAAGTACCCACACTTCAGATTTATCTAGTGTTTTACCCAAAGACACTCTCTTTAGCTCTTTTTGAAGATCACCCCTTTCTGTCTGTCCTTGGATTTCTTACACCTTTTTCCTTGAAATGCCTGGGTTTTGGGGTTTTTTTTTGGTTTTTTGTTTTTGTTTTTGTTTGGGTTTTTTTTTGTTTGGTTGGTTTTTTTCCCTCTATGCACAATACTCCTTCAGAAAAAAGAAAAGAAATTACACCCATATCTCTCATCCCAAACTCTCCTCATACATTTAACCTTCCTGAGTATGGCCAGAGTTTTGGGAAAGGGTTTGTATTGTGTTTTCTACTTCCCACTCCCCAAAAAAATTAATTGCATTTTTCCTGACTGACTAGTGGCTCTACCATAGCTTGGCCTTACTGGCATTTTCATATAAACCCTAGAATAAGAAGATATATTTAGAAAAAATAACACTTTCTTCATTGCAAAGCTTACCTCAACCAAAGTGCTCAGTGAAAAGTAGTTTAATTTTGTAAACACAGAAATGAGAATCCACACTGTACACCAACTTGATTTGTATGCATTTTCCTCCTAAAAAAATGACCAACCTGCACTGGCAATTAACATCTTTAACAGGATGATTAGAGCATCATTTTTCACACCCTCCTCTAGAAGAAGCTGATGACCTTTCTACAAAAGCAATAATATAAACCCCAAACTTACTTTTCTCAGATATTACTCTCACCAAAAGAGGATTGTGTTGTACTGTATTGATCCTACACTGGCAGTAATTATGGCAGCTGGCACAGCTGGTCCCACACATGGTAGATGTGCATCCACGTGTGCACCTCAGCATCTTCCGTCACAGAGGAAGTGTGCTGCAGTATTTACTTACATGTATTGAGGATACAGAGTCAGGGGCTTGTCCCTGGGGGTGTTCCTGGGTATGCCACTATCATTGGACACTCGTATAAGAACGTCACAGCCCGGATCCATAATGGAGCAAAAGTGTATGGGAGCAGATAAATATGTGGAAAATGCTAAGAAATATGAGTATATTGCAATCTCTGCATTTTCTCCATTCATATACTAAGTGAAGGTTGTGGCAGGACAATTAAAAGTGCGATGATATCATAACATCATTTTGACTAATAAACAGTAATAAGAAATGCTTCCAGAACTGCTGTGAGACAATTTTAATGAAGTTGTGTGAACGGCTGCCTCTGACCCTCTGCCGTACAGACACATGAATACTCAAGGATATGTCCACCTACTCACAAGCTAGGGACTGCTGATACCTGAAAGCAAGCTCTTTCAAATCACTACAAGGCAACAGCTGACAAATTCTATACTGACAATGAAACTTTCAATACTGAGATAACAGAAGTTGGAAGACGATTGTTGATGTGATTTAATTTTGAATGCTGAATTTAGCTCACTTTCTCCAAATTAAAAAAAAAAAAAAAAAAGACAAATAAAAAGAAAGCAACCATCCTGTTTCAGGTTCAAACCTGAAACCAAACCCCCCCCCCCCTCCCCCATTGCTCATGGTAGGTTCAAGGCAGCAAATAAGAATTATGTACATTTCATTTAATTATGTACATTTCCTTTAATGAATCCAGTCATGGGCATGCAGATGTGTGATTACAAAGGGGCAAAATGATGCTTTGCTGTTTTACCATTAGACTATGTGTTTGAAATTATTTGCAGAAGAAGCTCTTTTAAATGTACAGGTTTTCAATGACATAATGGAATCATAGACTGGTTTGGATAGATGATTTAGTTCCAACCCCCCTGTCGCAGACAGGGAGAATTTTCACTGGAGACCAGGTTGTTCAAAGCCCCTACCAATCTGGCCTTGAAAACTTCAAAGCATCTTCGTAATATCTAATCTAAACCTGCCCTCTGTCACATTAAAGCCCTTGTCCCTTGACCTGTCATTACATGTCCTTGTAAAAATTCCCTCTCCATCTTTACTGTAGCCCCTTTAGGTACTGGAAAATGCTCTAAGGGCTCCCTAGAGACTTCTCTTTTCCAGGTTAAACAACCCAAATCCTCTCATCCTGTCTTCATAGGAGAGGTGATCCATCCCTATGTGGCGTCCTATGGACTTTGTCCAGCAGACTCATGTCCTTCTTATGTTGTGGAATCCCAGATGCGATTGAAGTACTCCAAGTCACAGAATATTTTTGTGACTCTTTCATTTTTTTCTGTGTGGATTGCTATTGCTTTACATTATAGGCTGGGACAGAATGTCCTACCAAAGGTACAGTCATTTCTTCCACAGAAGAAAGAAAATTCCCTCCCCGACATCTTGACAAAGGCGGCTGATGTTGATACTTCTTTTCATTTTGTGTGCCTCTATTTCATCCCCGTACAACTTCTCAGATACTACCCTTACAAGTACGGGAGATGCAATTAATTTAAAAGAGGCTGAGACCTGCTGCATTTGGGGGCGATGGATATCAGGACAATGAGTTCCACTGGTTTATTTCAGGCTTGAGATGCTCCTTGAAATGTTACATAAGCTGGAGAACCTTGGGCAGGTGAGGCAGCAGTTTCCAAGGCCTTCAATTATACAGACACTCTGCTAATGAACAACTGGAAAAAGACAGTTGTAGGAACAGTGGTAGGGAGTCAGCAAGAATCTCTGAAATCTAGAACCTAATCTATAGAAAAACTAGAGATTTGACAGCCAAGAGAATAGACATTTTGTGGTGAAAAGAAATAGGGTATCGAACCAGGACAGGGAGATTGTGGATAATAATGCCTCTCTGTTGCTTGGGCTCCATATCCTGGACAATGTAATGAAATAAAGTTATCGTGCTACCAACAGAAAGTGCCAAGAGGCCCTGAAGGGACCTTTTCACTTGATACTACCACTGCGATTTATAAGTCAAACCCTTATCCCACCTGCACAAGCAAACCCAAATTCCAAGCACAGATAACCCCAGTTTTAGGAGCTAGTGGCTGACAGGTATAATCCAAGGAAGATTCCAAAACAAGCATGAAAATAGGTCATAACTGAACAAAACTTCCTTTCTTTCAAATTTCAACTTGGAATACACTTTTTAAACTTGTATTTTCCTTGCTTAACAGTTTCTCTGCTTGCATTGTCCTTTCTGTTCCTTCTTATCCTAAGACTAGCTGGGATATCAGAGCACAGCTCAACAAAAGACAGTAAAATTAGATCTTACTTAAGCTTGGTGTGAAAGTGTTTTAAAACTCTATACACATCTATGAGTACTTAATTTAAATAAATTATACTTTATTGCTCATTACAATATCTATAAAAATTTTAGTAACAATAAGGTTGTGATATCTTTACAACTGCATTTATGTGAAGATTAATATTAGGTACACTACACACAGTGAAGCTTACCAGCAAGGGAGAGAGGCGTCAGTCAATACGTTTCATGTAAGAAGTAAAAAGAAGCAAATGCAAAGATACAGGATTACATTTTGTTCTATTTTACTTAATTTTCCTGAGAAGTCAGTTTCAGGGTGAAAACTGACATTCAAAGCTTCACTTTCAGAACATTGGAAGTGTTATTGAGGTAAAATGAAATTTTACAGCTCCATGAAGGCCTAAATGTGTCAGTCTGTATAAAGTAAACTGGGCATTGCTATGTCCTTGATGGGGATGACTGCTGAATAGCACATCCACTCCCCACTGCGCTGGGTGCTGTGTACAGCTGTGTGGGCAGGGCATAGAAAGAAGCAGGTGCTGTTCCCTTTCTTGGTTTTTCACCTGGATTGTTTAAATTTGAAGATATCCTTTGAGAATATTATATGCTCAATCTTTTTTCAGACAGACACAGTTCCTTCAGACACTTGCAGAGGCCCAGAATAGACCTGGATCAATTCAGAGCCCCCATATTTGCCACACTCCTGCAACAAGGGTGCACCAGGGTGGGCCAAAGAGAGGCATGCAGCCCCACAGAGCTGAAGAATTATGTGTAAGGAAGCTCGGGCTTACATTGGGTTTATGTTCTTCAGTCTCCTGCTGTGTGAGCTCCAGAGTGATTTTTAAGGGCTGCTTCATGGGAATTGTGTTGTCATGGCTGGAGTCAAGGTATGCAGCACTCATCTGTTTGAAGAAACAATGAGGGAGAAATCTCTAGTAGATGAAGCCCTTGAGAGAGTTTCTTTTGACACTTCCTAGGCTTTTTGGAAGTGAGAAAGCAACCTTAATTGGAATTTAAAGACATGATATGGTAGGAATGACTGATGATACTTGATAGTTGAACCTGAATCAAATTTACAAAACAAATATTTATAGGAGATATTTCAAAACAGGGCACTTCAATATGTTTAAATATTTTCTCTTAATCCCTCATCTCTTTAGATCATTATTCATAGTTCATAAATAATAGTTTAATGCCCACTAAAATACATATGACAAAATGTGCTTTCCCATGGGGCTGCAAAACCTAATGTATTTTTACATCTAGGTATATTCCTAGAGTAAATAAAATGTTGCAAAATTCCATTTAGTTTAATTGCATGTATAAACATACAGATCAAAATAGAAAACAACTGAGTTTACTCATTATCTTTATCATGACAGCTATGGGCAAAAAGATCATACTAGTCAAAGGGTAATCTTACTTCTTGGATCCTTACTAGTTTAATTTTCCATGTCAAAACTGACTTTTAAAGTGCAAGAAATTAACTTAGTAATAATAATTATACTCTTTTTAAAAAAATCTATTTTTGTTTTAAACCAGCTAGTCAATTTCTGACAGGTGTTGTAAACTGAGAAAACTGTTCCGTAAACTGAGAAATAGCCACTCTAATAGAGTACAGTCATCAGCTACAACTTATATCAGACTATATCCGACAAAATTCACTTTCAAAAGACTTAAGCAATCATTACAACCTCGATGAGGTACTGACAAAAAGGTAAATAAAAACACAAAAAACCTTTTCCACTGCAGATTACTTTATAAAATCTGTCAGTCCACTATGTATTGTATGTTCTTCAGAGATTATGACTGATCCATGACATTTCTGAGACAGCCCATTGCAGTTGCAGTATTATGGCTTTAAATGTAATATCGGACATCACCATGAGAAAAGAATACCCCCAGGAGTCGAGGACAGAAGGTAATACAGTGGCTCTTTCAGTGGTGTGGGAGACATGGCAAACTGCTGCATAGCTGAACAGTTCCCCTTTGTTCTCTGTTCAGCTATGGATCCGATTTCTCTGAATTGGGCTTATTACAATAAATATAGATGCACAACATGATTATTTATGGGAAGAAAACAGACAAAAGAGGTTGAGTTGCTGGTACCTAAAACCTCATTTTCTGAGCTTCTCCCCTTGAGGCCCTTTTCATTTGTTGCACCATTGTATTCTCATTGTTGCTCAATGATACAAGCCTAAGCTGTTCATCAATTTACCCACTCCCCCAATCTCTTTCTCTCTCATGTGTGCTTCCTCTCTCTTCCCATGTTAATAGTTCCCCTGAAATCCTATCACTTTGCTGGAGGATTGATGTAAGTCTCCAGCAATTAACATAATTACAAGCCTGATTATCTTCTAATTGCATTATGAGTATTTGGTTATTCACTACACAAATTAGAGAAAATTAAAGAGGAGCAAGATCCTGTGGTGTGGGCGGTATGCTTTCTAAACTGTTATGATCATCTGAATGCTGTGAGATAACAAGAAGGTGAACACGTTTTATATTCCTATTGGCTCACAATTTTGCTTGTCATTGTGTAATTTCTTCTTATTCTTTCAACTGTATTTTCTATCACTGAAAGATGCAGTCCTACTTCATTTGTTTGGGAGAGTTTACTGACAACATACAGTTGCCATATTTTTTCTATATAGATTTGGCAGAATAAAATGATAGAAATTCAAATAAAAGGCACTCAGATAATAGGGTTCTCTACAACTGAGAAGCATCAATAATTCAAATACATAATTAAGGGATGCTCTTTGTGGTGACAGGGGAACATAAAATTAAAAACCATCAAGAATTGCACACTCTTGCCTGTCTCTTCTTGAGTTTTTGAGGTTATTGACTTATTAGTTAAATAATCAGGGAAAAATTATGAGTAATTGCTAGAGGGCAGTTTTAAGCCTGAATTAGACTTTGATGCAGCATAACCAATATAGGACAAAAGTCATTTTACTGTCAGCAAGGCCAGAAATGAAAAGGTGTTCTTGAAATGAACAGAATGAAATTTCATGGAGGGAAGATTAAGTAACTGAATATATTTTTAAATTATATTTTAAAAAGAAAATAATTGAAGTTTGACCCAAACATGGAGAGAAAAACTTATGACAGGAAAAGGGAGCAGACTTACAGAAAAGATTGTAGCTTTTGCTGTTGTTTGGGTTGAAGATTGTGAATGCTGCTGGAAAAACAGCCATCTCATGTCTCATGCAGGACTAACCACCCTGTTACACACAAAAACCCAGTGATATAGGAGTTAAACCAGCTGAACTCCCCTTAGCAGTGCTTTGAGCATCATGTGCTGACTTCCACCCTAAGTAATTGCCAACTCTTCTTGTGCTTTGGGATAACTTGGTACCTCTCTGGGTATAAGCCAAATCCTGCTAATGTTCTTCATCTTACAGATGTATTGTCAATATAAATTAACTTGGCAATGCTCAAAACTGGTGTCCCTGAATGAATTTACAGGATAATTTACATGTTAGTGATCTAATATCAGTGAATATTACTTTGTCTTCTGTACTGAGGTGATGTGGACCAAGGGACCCATGTAGGTCACAACATTCCCAGATGCAAATGGCACCCAGACACAAGGGAATACATTTATGACATTTGCTTATTACAAAAGGGTCAGCACACAGTCTTCGGTCAGTAATTTTGCCTTCTCATCTGGGAACTGCATAGCGTGGAATTCAAATGTATGACCTAAGGCTTTAGAGTTCTGAAGTGTTCACTATGAAAACATATTTCTATTCACATAATTTCCTTGAACGTACCTGGTGCATTCAACTGCATTCCCCTCTGGGTTTGGCTGGAGAGTTAGGACCTAATGAACATAACTTTCTCAGCCAAGCAAAATGTATACTGCAAAACTTACTGCTATTTGCATGCAAACGGGAAATTTTTGCTTTGATCTCTTCTCTGTATCTCTTTACATATCACCATGTGATTTGCTGTCCAGACTATTCACAAAGACCTTCCATCAAAAAGCATCACTAATAACACTCCCTGTCTGCAAACATCTCCTATTGCTTAGACATAAGTTGCAACACTAGAAACATGGTTCCTAAATAGGGCTGCAATCCTGCAAGCAGGTCTCACTGACTTATTTGATCTGTCTTATTCTACCTTCTCTATTCATTACCTCCTTAGCATGGGCAGGAAAAGAATGCTATTTTTCTAGATCTTTTAGGACATAAAAATATGTCTTTCTTTGTAGAGCTCTTAAAGTCCTTAACTTCTGGACATTTACTGATGAAAGAAGTTGGCCATTAATCAGCTTCTGATTGATGGTGGTTAACATCAATCTAAGACAAATTTAAAGGAGAAAAGAGAACAATCTTAATTATCTATCACTCTATGACGGTCATTTAAAAAAAAATCTCACAACAACAGCGGAATTTTCTTATAAACAGATGTATGTATATTTTCATTTGATGCTGCCAAGTGTATACAGAAAACTCTGGGAACCAATCACCATGTGTTTCATCTGATCCATCCAGACAGAAAATAAAGAGTTAAGCCACACACCATATGAATCCTTAACAGGATAATTTAAAAGTATTTTTCAAGTTGGTTTAGAATAGATTCAACATTATACTGAATTTTTTCAAGTACATTAAATTTAATGTAACTTTTTAAATCTCTATAACTTTAAAAGCTGTAGACAGTGGGCCAAATACAGCTTTAATGTAAAACACGCTGAATTTAATGAAAAGCTTCATTGAATTTACTGGCAATTTGCCCAGTTGCCCAAGAATTCAGTTTTGCAGTCTTTCACGTTCCTCCCACTGCTTCTGAAAGCTGTCATATGTATGTAGTCTAGAAGTTTTCAGAAGTCCAGGACTGATAGTGAAAGTGGATTTAATAGTCTAATATCAAAGGGCCTATGGAGAAAAGCCACCCTGCAATTTTGCCAGGGAAAGTAAACAACAGATCACCATTTTCACTGCTGCCTTTATAAAAGGCCATTTTTAAAATTCTACAAATACTTTGCTCTGAATGGCATCCCTGAAATTTAAACTGAAGCCTGGACTCCCAAGTGAAACAATGAATTACAAGGAAGAAATGAGGATTTTTTTTTTCTTTTGCACTTGACAGTCCCACTTTTACAAAAAATTCTGAGCATCTGATTATGGACAGAAGACACAAGCATTTCCTTGAAGAAACCTTGAGTAATACATAAATAAAACTTCCACAACAGAGTGAAACAGAGACCCAAATAAATTATCCATATGTGTTCTTTACATGTTATACAAGCACTTTCTAGGAGGCAATACTCATGACAGGATAGTCTAGAGCCATTTCAGATTTTTTTTTAAACAGAAAGCAAGACTTAGAAGGCAGACGGTAATACCACGCCAAAGCTATCCTCAAATTTGAAGTGTTATCTTCCTTTTTGGTGTAAAACTCCTCAACCACAGTGAAAAGAAAACAAAATATTGTTTCCTTGCTTCATTACTTTAGTAAGAAGGATTGACGACATGCTTAGCTGGCAGGAAAAAATAATTTATTTCACTGTCACCTTATTTGTTCACCTGCTGTAAGGTAAATAGAAGCTAAGTCAATTTTTATTTATTTAGCTTTTGGAAGACACCCGTACTGAAATAGCTGGCATTATCTATTATATACAACCATTCTATTATACTGATCACAGAAAATAAAAACAGTGTGAGACCATCTGTAACTCTTAACTTCACTCTTAATAGCTAATACTTGGTGAATGCCTTATTTTTTTTCACTCACCACTTTTCCAATTTATAATGTGTTTTGAAAATAACAGCAATTTCACTTATTTCATGTTTAAAATGTTCCAGGAAAGTAAACGGTCCACATGTAGCACTTTCCCGTGTCTGCCTTTTATCTGTTATCACAGACCTATTGGTATTAGTTAGTAAAATCTCTTTGTCGTAACACTACAAAAAAAAAAAAAAAAAAAAAAACAAAAAAAAACCAAAAAACCAATAAATATTGAAAATGCAGTTAAGAGCCAATTCCCATGTTAATTTCTCAGAGAAATTTCCCACTAGGGCGTGGCTGAAAGCAGAGAAAGTGAGTTGGGATTTTACAGAGATTACTATGCATTAGCAGAAAGCGTATCTTTTCCTGTGAAGTGAAGAATGGTATAAGCTTTGCACTCAAAATGAGAGTATAAATTTGACTCAACAAAGCAGCCTGCTTGCAGGAACTTGCTTCACTCTCTCATTTCATAGCACAAGTAAAATGCTTTTTTATCCTGCCTTTGCAAATAGAGTCAAACATTTTAAATAAAGTAAAATATTCTATCAAGGGGACAAGCAAAGAAATTGCATTTCAGGAGACTGCCTGATACTGAAACGAATGCAGGGTAAAAAGGTAATATGACAAATTCATACAAGGCCACAGGAATAAATATAGTGGCTTCATTTTTTTCTCTTTCATGTTGTCTTCAGACCATGCAGGCCTGAACTCTTCATTGTCACTTTGGTGGATTAGCAATTGGCTTTGACATTCAGCTGCATGGGCAGACCTGCCAGAGCTGGCATAGTGGGGTGTGCTTTTCCAGAAGTTTGTAGAAAGAATTTAATTCATATTCTTCTTAGCCATAACAAGAAGTTGTCACTGTCTCCACAGATTACAAACATGGGTAACATTTTTCCCTCTGACATGCAAATTCTGGTACGCACTGCTACTTCCTTTACAGTAAATAATGAGGTTGCTTACTGTTGCAGTGTTTACCTATTGAAATACTGCTATTTCAAGAATGCATGAATGTCTTTCAAATTTCCTTTTTTTTTTTTTCTACTTTCAAATCCTTGTTACTTTCGAATTTGTCAGAACTCAGATTTTGGAAATATGCAAAAGTTTTCTGAGAACATGAACATAATTTCCTCCCCTTGAGTTCCCCTGTTGCTATGCTAGAACAGGGCCAAGGCTCCACCTTTCAAATGGTCACTTACATATTTAAAATGATGGGAGCACATTTGGTGGGGGAAACCGAAACTACCAGCAAGAGGGAGGGAATTAACCTAAGTGGAAAATCCAGGTTCAAGCCTCTTATGTAAAAAAGACAGAAGAACAAACTGACCTCCGTTCCCTCTTGGTTCACAGACATCCATTGGCTGGTTGTCTATGTTATGTTTTATTCAAGCTTAACCAGAAAAACCTTT